GTGTGTGTGTGTGTGTGTGTGTGTGTGTGTGTGTGTGTGTGTGTGTGATAAGATATCCCCCCACAGGATAATACACAGGATTAGTGCACACCCACTGTGTTAATACACAATCAATCTTAATGGGATCAAGCAGGATTTATAGGGTCTATGCACTTCGAATACTCCCAGATTGAACATATAGTAGAATGAAATAAGGGTTTGTACTCTATGTTGTGTCTTTCTCTCTTTGTTCTCTCTCGTCTGTGTTAAACTGTCTGCACTATGCTAAGATAACCACTAACACCCCCTTTCTTCTCCACAATACTGTCGGATAGCACACGCTCATTACAACACTCGGCTAGTATGCCTGTCATGAGGTAAGGGGAAGTTTGTGTTCACGTGAGTCTGACACACAGTGTTGAATAAAATATGGAGGAGGAGAAGGCTGCACAATGTGTTTGTGCAACACCAGAGAAAAGAGAAACTGGTGTGGCTTTAGTTCTGTATTTCCAGGTATGCATTGTACATAAAAAGGTCTCAAGTGTGCACCTTGAGAAGCGACCACCGCTAAGAGCGACTATGAGCTATCGGTGAAGCTGCAGCGCTTACTATCTTGCCCGGACAGAGCCCGGTTTCGTCAAGCTGTTAGAGGTCCTGCAAAAATCTTGAGATAACAGACATCTTTGAAGCTAGAGGCATCGTCTGTTAGATATGGAAACGCCCACTTTCAGAAACGAAGAAATGCGGTCTGTCCAGTGTTCTTTACTGGTTTAAAGTAGAATCACACAACAGGGTCTCTCTGCCGATTCCTAACCGAAGTATAGTTTACGGTGCAGGTCTGGATGGGTGAGATTAGAACTGCAATTCTTTTCCTTTATCAATGAATTTGTGGATTATTAACTGATTAATTTATGAAATAATTAATTGGTCTCTGAAATGTCAGAATTTTTTGAAATTATATATATATATATATATTTATAAATAAATAAAATATTTAGAATTTAAGGGGATGTCTTTAAATTGCTTCTCCAATAATCCAAAACTTGAAAGAGATTTAGTTCACTGTCAGAAGACTACATATTTGAGAGGCTAGAACCACTGAATTGATTGTCTGTCAATAAGCTTATTTATTAATTGTTTCAACTCTGAGATTAAAACATTAAATATATCACATTCATCCAAACCATTCTGACTTATATCCAACAAAATGATCACACAACATGAGCATCCATCTTTGTTTCTGCAGCTCTTTGAATCAAAGTTTTCTCATGAAAAGTCTGCCGAGATGTATTCAAAGTTGTATGAATCTCACACAGCGTTTCTAAATGCTACAAACGGATATTTCAGAGGAATATGTTTACTGTTACCTCCTCTCATCCTGTTCATTCTGCACTCTTTGTTATGCCTGATAAGTATCAGATATCATGACCTCTACAGATGTGATTACAGTCATGTCCTGCTTCCCTCTGTGGGGGGCAACTTGTTGTCTGCAACTAGAATGTAGAAGCATGCCGGATAAACTCAAACTATGTCAGTCGGTCTGTGATGTTGTTATTTATGTCTCGTTCTTTCACAGGAATGCACCAACTTTCAAGTCCTTTGAGGAGAAAGTGGAGACTTTGAAGGTAACGGATTAGGAACGGGACTAGTGGCTGCGTTTTCAAATATACACATTTCAGCCCAGGGCTGTGTATAAAACCACTTTCTAATCAGCATTTAAAGGGAGACTGTTAAACCTCTGCTGACCAGTGACTACAAGTGTCTATCACAGAACAACAGCACATTGAATTTATTTTCATTTTGAGTCATGAAGTCCAGCAACATTACTAGAAACAGTTATGCAGCAATGTGTACAGTAACTAAAGCTGGCAACGGTGAGCCACAATAACTCCTTAATATATGAACTGAGCAATGTTTTGTTTGTGAACTAAAACTTCTTCTGTTGAAGAGGAAGATTGTTTTATTTCTTCCTTCAAAAGGTAAATGGGTCTCACTTTAAATAGATTAATTTACAAGCTAAGTTCAGATATAGCAACTTTGAGCACAGGCTAAAATTTTAAATATTTGTTATGTTTTTTTTTTTTTGTGCGTCTATAAATTACAGTTAACTTAATTCATGGGAGTCAATCATTGAATGACTCTTCCTCACCTTTTCTCCTCCTGCTGCTTCAGACCAAGATGACTCCATCAGCGTCCACCGGGGACCCCGACCAGCAGGACAGCGACGGCCCCGCCACCGACACTTTGATCAGTCAGCCCGATGGCTCGGCCACCCGGGACACACCGATGAACTGAGACCTCCTGACCCCCTCCCCATCACTTGACCCTATCTAACCCCCGAACCGTAAACACTCTCCCCCTAAACTCTTGTGTGCCAGTCTTCCTTTACTTGAACAACAAGTGACTTCCCACAGCTCGTGATCTAATTGTCTGGTCTTTTTGTCCGACACGTGCGCTCACTTGTTGACTGGTGTGGAAACTGAAAGCATGGGATGGCTGCAGGCGTGCGGTCTCGTGTCCATCGTATATATATATATATTTGAGTCTATTCTCGCTCGCTGTGGGAGAAATCCTGCTTGCTGTCCGACTCCCCCCACACCCCCCCACTCCCTATTTCTCAGCTTCTGCCGAACCAGCAAAACTCAGATGCCAAACATGCTCCTAGATTATTTTTTGTCTCTATCAAATTAACACCGTTTCATGTTTTCTTTGAGTAGAAAATTGCACAAATATAGAAATATTACAAACTTGTTTAGAGAAGGATTTATACGTAAAACTTGTTTTGTTGTGTCTGCCTCCATTTTGGGGCCGTTCTTGGTTTACTGTGGTTTACCATTTTGGGGCCAATCTGATTTTCAGTTTTCTTTCATTACATTAATTTTAGGACACCACGCGCTCATAAAAGTAGTCTAACACTGTGTTCAGAATATGAATGTATGCCTTCTTCTGTCATATAGTTACACCACTTTGTATACTCTCACAGCGCTGAGCCACTGGTTGTGTGTGTGTCAACCGCAGCCACCAACTCCAAAGCTGGTATAGAATTTAAAAAAAAACCATCCCTTTTCCCCCATTGTTAAGAGTCTGTCAGAAAATGATCTCCACGCTTAGATAGTTACAGAAAAACCGCCAAGATCAGCAGAACAGCGGCAGAGCAAAACGCACTGTCACGGTTCAGCCTTGACCCGAGGTGAGAGTGGAATAAATATGTTTCTTCCAGAGCCAGAGTCAATATTTAAACACTTGTCCATTGTTTCTGCTGGGAGGTAACACCTAGTCCCTCCCCTTTCTGTCAGTTATCTGAAAGCAAGGCAAGAGACTCCACTGGCTGCTGTTTTGTGCACTGATGCATCATAACGGTGTAAACGAGTTTACCACATGTTATCCGGTACAAGTTTGACATTATTGTTTTTTTAGCTCTGTCGTTGGTTTGGTTCAGACTGAAGTATCTTAACTCTCTGATGGATTGGCACAAAATAACCTAACCTGCTAAAGTCAGATGATGAACATGGTAAACACTGTACCTGCTTACCATCAGCATGTTACTGTTTTTGTAAGCGTGGTAGCATGCTGACGTTAGCATTCAGCTCAAAGCAACACGGCCTCACGCAGCTTACAGCAGGGCCGCAGGCTCGCCGCCTGGTTCCTCCTGAATGTGCTGGTTTGAGAAGTTTTTAGAGGAATTTGCATAACTCGATCACAGTCCGCTTCTTTTGTCAACGGCAGGATTTACAGTATTTTCTGAAACTGCTGCTTTCATACAGATCAAAGTCTACAGAACAGTTACTCTTAACATGACATGAGAGTCAATCTGAACACAGCCATTGTTTCCTCTGGTACACAAATGGAAGACACAAGGACTTTACCGCATACTTCTAGCAGACCGGGCTGGTACGAGTCTTCCCCTGCTGGCGGACGAATGAATGAACATGAATGTGAAATCAGCTCTCCCTCTTAATCATTAGTGCTGCACTTTGCCACGCAGACTGTGGATCAGCACCACATACGGGCCGAGGGGGATTTCTGCTGTAAAGATCTGGTTTTCAGCAACCGTGACACCATTTATGAGCTGTGCAGTATCTGATGTCCTCATGTAAGCCATGACCTGGTTCACTGAGAGACTTTAATACAGCCTTTTGTCTCATTATTTGTGTTTAGTCACACACACATACACGATTTGTTTGTTCTTAAATTGGAACCGTGCAATGAAGACATGCTCTCAATAAACATACCTCTGAAGAAACCTTGTTCTGAGTTAACTGGTGTCTTTCTGCAACAAGGGGAGGGGGGGGGGGGGGGGTGTTTTTTGGGTATCCTCCAGCGCAAGATATTACTGTGTTAGAAAGATGTGACCTTTTTAACACACCAGTGTGTCTAACATGGGGAAATGCATTTACATTGACCCACAGAAGGTCAAAAAAAATCCAGCTTTAAAAAGCCTCATTGAACTGCAGTGCCTCATGTGAACACAGGAGGGCAGCCAAGAGTAGAAGCATCACTTGATGACTTCATTTGTCTTCATCCAGACGCATGGGCCCTGTTTCAGAAAGCAGGTTTGGTTTAAACTCTTAATTTAGCTAACCCTGAGATGTTCAGTTGAAAAGGCAGACTTCTGGGTTTTTTTAGTTCTAGGAAGAGAGGTGACTTAAACTCTGGGTGGTATTTCCTCGTTGATTCAGTCGAAAGCGCATGTCGAAGGTTTACTGAATGTCGGATATTAGTTTTATACTCGGGACTATCTAAACTAAAGTGATCGCTTTTATGCGCCGTCAGTCATTTCTTTGAACATTCAAATATTGCTCCGCATCAATTCCCCCTCTGCTCAGAATAAAACCTCTGCATGTCAAAAACACTGTCTGTGCGCATAAGACAGACAGCGTGTTCGTTTGTTATAGCAGTTCCACTAAAATGTTAATTGCACTGAAATGTGTAATGTCAGTTTAAATTAAAAAGAGGCCCAAAGTGTTCATGATGGGGATCATAAACATCTCACTACAATATCAAAACTATAATAATATTACTTTAAAGATCCGTTACTGAAGTAAAGTACTTCTGTAAAGATGTAATTAAGACAAAGTTAAAAAGTAGGATAGTTAAAACGACCGTTACTTTTTTTTAAAGAGGGGGGGGTATATGATACTAATAAATTTGGACATCTTTAGGCTACAAAATAGATTGCATTAAATGTCCATTTCACACAGGTGGAAAATAAACAGCAAAAAAAAAAACTCGGGCACTCTGCAGTCTGTGCATACAACAGATCATCAATTATATATACATATAAATAACACCACTGCGCCTAAGACTTTAGAATCTAAATAAAACATCTCCAAAGCGGACATGGTGGATAAGTTAACAATGTCAACTTCACAGCGGCTGCAGACTGCATCGTTTTTACACGCTGTGTAGCGGCTCCTCTGTCCCAGTATAACTAATGGGCCTCAATGGTTGCCGCTGGAGGATTCTTGAAATGTTAGCATTTAGCATGTTAGCCAGACCCAGCGTGCGCCAACTGTAAGGTAGAGGTCACGAACATCGTGGGTGTGTCACTCAGTGCGAGCCACGTGGTGTTAGACAGATGCGACATTTTTGTTTGACTTTGCATGCAGAAGTAGGCTCCACTACTGCTAATAGAAACCGCACCGCATGTGTGACGCTTGATTTGATTGTGACTTAAGTGTCCTCGGCCTGTGAACGCAGACATGTCTCCTCATTTCCGGAGTGATACCTCTCTGCACGTGCAGCTGTGTGGAGCCCCGCCCTCTTGTGGCCGCAGACACACCTGCAGCTGATTTATCTCGTTTCTTATGTTTCAGGACGTTTTCGGACAAGGATGTGACTTGAAATGTAGCAAAGTAGGCAACAATACTTGTGGTTATTCGTACTTATTCAAAAATATAATGAGTAGGCTTAATAGAAAACTATTTTGTTGCAGTAACGAGAATATTTTTTTTCTTTTCAACCAGAACTACATTTATTAAGGCATGTATTACATCATTATTGGGCTGAGATGAAGTTGCACTTAAGCTTGCTTTGAGCTTTTTCTCCGTCATGAGGTAAACTAATGGATGTATGAATAAACTCTAATTAAGTATTCTGATAAAGCACAGACAGTCACCATTTTGGAGAGTGTTATTAAGTGGCAAGAACTACATATCACTTAAAAAGTAGAAATCGTACGTATATCGCAAAACTGCATGACTCACATGCAGCAGAACGACCCATTATACTGTGTTATTGGAAAATTATAAACGGTGCATTACTGGGTAAGCAGTTTGTGGAGGCAAAGAGCATAGAAGGTAAGGCTACTGTATCAACACCTTCTGAGTAGTTTAGTTCATAAGAAAGCATCATATTTTAGAATGTATTCACCTATTTTGTGTGTAACTCCAAATCTGAAAAGTAACTAGTAACTATAGCTGTCAAGTAAAGGTAGTGGAGTAAAAGGTACAATATTTCTCTTGGGAAGCAGAAGCAAAAAGTAGCAGTAAAATTGAAATCTTCAGGTAAAAGTAACTTAAAAGTGGACTTAAATACAGTATTTGAGTAAATGTACTCAGGCATATTCCACTACTGGAGTATATTTTCTTGTTTATTTGTACGTTGAGAGCAAAGTGGAAACTGGAGTCAAATTCCATGCATGCGTACGCATACATGGCCAATAAAGCTGATTCTGAGACTATAACTTGTCAGTCATAAAATGTTACTTTTTTACTTTCAAGTGTTATTGAATAAAATGGTATCGAGTGTTCTTTGAAAAGAAAAGACAGTGACAGCGGCTAACAAACAGCTGCCAAAAAAAAAAATCTTTATTCAGTTATAACCAGATGGCTCCAGATTCTTCCAGTCACACAGATCACTCTGGAGAAGGCTAAACTGTAAACACAGAGTCAAACAACAACAGCACCAGAACGCAATTTACAACAATAACAATGGGCAGTTTCTACACACAGAGATCGGATAAGAAACAAAACTGGTACAGGGGTTAACAGTCAGTGTGTGTTAATTCTTCTTTGACAAAAATCATTATATAGAATTAATTTCATCATATTGTAGAAAAGAATATAAGAAAACATCATTGGTGCAACAGAGTGTAGTATTTGTGATATTGCAAGTGCGTTGTGTGGTGTGTTAATAAAGAATCTCATGTTTGGATTGAATGTGTGACACGTAACTGTCCGTGTGTAATACGATGAAGCAGGCCTTGTTTGAAATGTGCAGAGAGAGAACATTCAGTGCAAACATGGCTTAGTTTGTGTGTGAGTTTAGAAGGCAGAGAAAAATGTCCCAAATGTCTTCCCATCACCCCAAAGAGTGAGAGTGTAGAGACGCACTTTGATGTAAAGGAATTTTAGATAATTGGGGTTATTAGACTTCCTGCAGAGAGTTACAGGAGAAGATTAAAGCCACTCACACGACTGTTTGTCAAATATGAACGGTTAGCTTAGCTTAGCACAAAGGAACAGGTGGAACAGTATAGCCTGGCTTTGTACCAGCAACT